TTTCAGCTTTGTGTAGAAAACATTTCATGCAGCCAATGTTAAAACAGTGATGTGTATTTTACTATTTGGACACACTTGTTAAAGTTATTTTTCTAATTCCCGTGAAAAACGGGCTTTTTAAGTTATTGCCAGAGCGGTAAGGGATTTATTTTGCTACTAAAACATCAACAACAATACACGGAGAAATCCATAGCAGAGGCAGAAATACTCATTTTCTCTGCTGCGGTTTCAGCAGACCAGAAAGCAATGCAGTCAGAGCTTTCATATTTGCAGATTGTCAGAATAGCAGAGTGTAAAACCCTGTGCAGTCTTCACCACAGCTGAATATTACACTACACCATTGTTATTACCATCACACAAACACAACACAGAGAACACCCTCATATCTCTGAGAGGTAGTCTGGGAAATGTAGTAAAACATGCTTAAATTGAGAAACACGAGCACACTAAATTCTAATTAATTCACAAAAGCATACATGTCTTTCGTGTAAATAAAATGCTCCCAGGTTGGATTTCTAAATTTGCAGTAAACCTCCTCAGTCTCGTTATAGGAAGAGGGAAAAGTCTGAGGCGTAGAAGTTAGTAGAAGAATATACAAATACTTCACACAATAATGTTTGTTTGATTTTCTAATCACTGCTTCATTGCTAATCTGACAAATAAAACCACTGATCCATGCTGTGCTCCGTCTCGCTGTATGTGACTTCCCATCTGCTTGACTTGGCCGTTCACAGAAACATTTTTTTCTTCTCACTTTCTTTTTTTACTTTCCTTGTTACTTGTAAACATTTAATTACTGCTGTTGTACACCACAGTTTTTTCTTTTTACAATGAGTAGTGAGTTTGTAGGTTCACCATACCAACCCATACCTTCCCCTCTACACTGTGTATGTGTGTACAAACGTGTGTGTGCTGACAGTGTGTAGTCACACTACACACACTGAATATATTAGTCAGAAACAGTGCATTTCAATGAACATCCACCTGTGTGAGGAACTGCTAAAATAACAGATTATTCATCTTACACTGAATTTCAATCATAATGAACCCTCAATGCACTCCTATTTACTTAAGCACTGGTATATACTGGAAGCTGCATCCCATGGTGCACTGTGGTCTATTGTGGCTGCTGTCAGAGCAGAAAACTCTGATCTCTTTGCCTCTTTGATGATGAATTTCTCCTTGTACTGTTGAACACCAAAAGCAAATAGCAGTTCCTAAAAAGCCTTTGTTCTGTAATTTTGAGAGACTGACATCACAACCTGTCATTTACCAATATAGATCCATAGCTGTCCAACATGATATTGATTATATATAATGTTGTATGGTATTTTTAACATAGAGAAATGTTCTAGCTAAATCATGGAAGCCCTTCTTTTTTTAATATTCACACGAAAATCTGTTGTAGGTACATTGTCCATTTTAGGACATCCTCGGGTGTCAGAGTTTGGTGTCAGGCCTTAGATGAAAAAGCATCAGGTCTCAGGAAAACCTCTGTCAGACTGAAGATGAAACAGTCTCAGAAAAAAGGTCTCAGGTGAAACAGCCTCAGACGAAACGGCCTCAGAAAAAAAGGTCTCGGATGAAACGGCCTCAGAAAAAAAGGTCTCGGACGAAACAGCCTCAGACAAAACGGCCTCAGACAAAACCGCTTCAGAAAAAAGGTCTCAGACGAAGTGACCTCAGAAAAAAAGGTCTCAGATGAAACGGCCTCAGAAAAAAAAGGTCTTAGCTGAAACAACCTCAGAAAAAAGGTCTCAGACAAAACAGTCTCAGAAAAAAATGGTCTACGACGAAACGGTCTCAGACAAAATGGCCTCAGAAAAAAAGGTCTCAGAGGAAGCGGCGTAAGAAAAAAAAGGTCTTAGCTGAAACAACCCCAGAAAAAAAGGTCTCAGAGGAAGTGGCCTAAGAAAAAAAGGTCTCATATGAAATGGCCTCAGAAGAAACGACTTTAGAAAAAAAAAAAAAAAAAAGGTCTCCGAAGAAACAACCTCAGAATAAAAGGTCTCAGACGAAACAGTTTCAGAAAAAAACGGTCTCAGATGAAACAGTTTCAGAAAAAAAAGGTCTCAGACGAAACGACTTTAGAAAAAAAAAAAAAAGGTCTCCGAAGAAACAACCTCAGAATAAAAGGTCTCAGACAAAACAGTTTCAGAAAAAAAAAGGTCTCAGACGAAACAGTTTCAGAAAAAAAAAAGGTCTCAGATGAAACGGCCTCAGAAAAAAAGGTCTTAGCTGAAACAACCTCAGAAAAAGGTCTCAGACAAAACAGTCAAAAAAAATGGTCTAAGACGAAACAGTCTCAGACAAAACGGCCTCAGAAAAAAAGGTCTCAGAGGAAGCGGCGCACGAAAAAAAAAGGTCTTAGCTGAAACAACCTCAGAAAAAAGGTCTCATATGAAACAGCCTCAGAAGAAACAACTTTAGAAAAAAAAAGGTCTCAGAAGAAACAACCTCAGAATAAATGGTCTCAGACGAAACCGTTTCAGAAAAAAAAGGTCTCAGAAGAAACAACCTCAGAATAAAAGGTCTCAGACGAAACAGCCTCAGAAAAAAAAGATCTCAGATGAAAAGGCCTTAGACAAAATGGCCTAAAAAATAAGGTCTTAAACAAAATGGCCTAAAAAATAAGGTCTTAAACAAAACGGCCTCAGAAAAAAGGTCTCAGGTGAAACTGCCTCAGAAAAAAACAAAAACGGCCTCAGATGGAATGGCCTCAAAAAGACTGGTCTCATAAAAAATGGCTTATTTATTTATTGATCTATAAGCAGGGAATACATGATATGTTATCAAAATCCAACAGTGTTAGAAGGGAAAACAATGACATCATCAAGTTGCGACCTCAACAATCCTGGCTTTTCTCTTTGATACTTCTGCTGCTGTCAAGATATATTAATTCATGGTTAGATTGTATGTGGATTATGATCAAATGTAGCAGGGGACCTAACTTCATTTTAGATTTTTAAAATGGTGACTGGCTGATACTATTGTGTGTAGCTAACACTAGCTAGCTTCAGTAACATTAGCCTCATTAGTAGCAATGATGGATGTTTTGTTAAATTGGTGAGTAACTGATTCATATATATTTCAGGAAATGGACAAAGAGAAGAAGTATGAGGAGCTCATAAAAGATCTCAATAATGGTGACAACTGTTTTATTGTGTTTTTTGCTAACGCTAGCATGTTTGTGCTGACGTTAACTGCTACACAACGCTGACAGAAGTGGGCTCCCATTCTTTATTGCTTATTCAGCAGCCCTATCTAATTTACTGTACAGTTCACATACATTTAAATATGTAAGCGCACTTTTGCTGTTGCATTACAAGTTGAGCAAGAGTGGTAATTTTCGAGTTTACAGGCCGGTCCGAGACCTTTGTTTCTGAGGCTGTTTCGTCTGAGACCTTTTTTCTGTGGTTGTTTCATCTGAAGTCTGACAGAGGTTTTCCTGAAACCTGATGCTTTTTCATCTAAGGTCTAACACCAACCTCTGATACCTAAGAATGTCCTACAATGGACACTGTATGCAGATTTATATCAATGTACCAATAAAGATATTACCATTTATTTTATTTTTTTTGGCCAAGTGGTTCCTCTTCTTCACATTGTTGCTAAACTTAAATATAAAAATAATTTTCTTTCTATTGAAGCTTTCCTTGCTTGAATAATTCAATACAAAATAGGTAAAGCCATCATTATCTTTTCTCAAAGTTTATGTTTTGCATTTATGCTGCTTTGCCTGAGTTTTCATATACCTTGTCCCATTCACGTACCTCTGACTGGATCAGAAAATGTTTCAGGCTTCGGGCTTTGTTGAATACGTCAGAGGAAGCAGACAAAACTTTTCACTAATTGCTGACATTCTTCATGATAATATTACACTGGCTATCACCTTACATCCACAGGAAGAAATAGAGGCCGCCAGTAGAAACTAATCCCTCAAAATCATGTCATGTTGAGGTGCCTTATTTAGGACGCCTTTGTTAGCCGGGACAGAGATTAATGTTGAGCTACAGGAGGAAGGCAAATAGATGTCATCACCTTGTGACAAAGGTCTATAAATCTGAAGTAACTTAATCAGAGCTGCAAACAGTGACACAAAGACGGGTCATGGTTGGTCAAATGCTGATTAGCAGCAATTATCAGCTGGTCTGACGATAAGTTATGAGTTTTGTAACCAGTACAAGATTAGTCAGAGAGCTCCAAAGAGGCTGAATCATTGCTCTCAAACTAAAAGTACATATGCAGCATAAACTGTGTTTGTTGGTTTTGTGTCTCAAAGTTCTTTCTTTAACTGTCAAAGAGTTAAAAATCCTTCCTCGTGAGGTGTGGACTTTATTACGACTTCCTCCTGTAGGTTTGTCACCGAAGTTTGACTTGGAAAAAACAATGAAAAATTGGTGACATTTGAAAACAAATGACTACACAGGGCATGCATTGTAAAATGGCCGGGGGAAATATAAACGGTAGACAGTAATAAATGGGCTGGAACTCAAAATGACCTGCGTTCTCCTTTGGAAAATGTTAGTGTTGGATGACATTGTCCTGTTGTGGATGGGCGAGGGAGTGATGGCTACTCAAACAGATCACAGGCAGCCTGTCAAGCAGTCAATATTGACTCAGCTGTTGTTTTGTTGGTGTGCGACATGGCTGGATAACTGAGTTACCGAGCAGCATGCGTCCTGCCATGCCATTGCCTTTTCTCTATTGAGCCATATAAGGCACCTGCTGGTATTACATTGTTACGTTGCAGCCGCAGCAAGTGTGAAATGCAGGTTCAGTTAGTGAATCAAATGGCTTAGTATATTGGGTTAGCTCATGTTATGGGTTAGATCTTATTTGTCAAGACAGCAAACCCTGCGCATGTGCAGCACATTCTTCCAGCCAAAGCTCAGGAATCACACAGAGAGAGTAGATAGCAGAGAGAGATAGCAGAGAGAGACAGAGCTGAGGGAGAGAACAGTCGGGAGCTGCTTGGGGAGGGTTGTGGTTCTACTTACATTTGCAGCCATCGTCCCACAAATAGCCGGGTAGACACTGCTGACACTTAGGCCCTGTAGTGCCCTCCTTACATATACAAAATCCTGTGCCATTACAGCGATCACTGACTGAGCCAAAGGGATTACAATTACACTCTGGAAAAACAAGACACACACATACACACAGGCTGGAAACAGGGTGGTGCTTTGACTTCCCGGCACACGTCTAGGATTTTCACAGCGCGGACCACATTCCTCAAGCTCAATTATAAGCTCAACTATAACAACAACAAGACGCTTGATTATTTTTAACTGGTAAAAATAGATTTAAAGACTCATACAGGAAAAAATGCTACCATTTCAACTGTAATGGAGACAGAATGAGAAAAGAATGATTCAGGGATGCATGAACAATTTGTATTCATCACAGCATATTTGTAATTATTGTAGAAATTATTTTACTGTTACATGGCTGTACAATATGCAATGAGCAAATATGCAAAGCATTATCAGTAGCTTTGATTTAAGATGAAGAAAGTGGGCTAATCTGCACATGCTTTACTAAAATCTTATTCATTCATACAGGTACAGAGAGGAGAAGATGGAAAAAGGAGACGGAAAGTTTGATGAGCAGGTTTCAGATGGATAATGGAAAGAAACAAAGACAAAGAGTGAATGTTAAAGTTTTAGAGGAATGAGAGAAAAGCACATTGAAATGGGCATTGTTGTAATATGTTCTTTAATTCTCTCTATTTTCAAAGGGATGTAAATATTGTCAAAGAATTTCGCATAATCCTAAAACGCCTCTTTCTCATTAACAGAAAAAAATGCTCATTAGCCTCAATTAGATTTGGAATATCCTTAAAAAACCCTCCTCCAAACAAAACAACCTGTCAAGTCTATGGTGTCCTACGCTCAACTGACCTTCCGGCTTTCCGCAGCGACTGGAGCACTCTGCAGTCAAAGTGACACCTATTTTGACAGTCTCTGACCATCACATTGCACCTTCTGTGGCTGTGCTGGCTGCACGTGGCTGCACCCGAGTGACATCCGAGGGTCAGGAAAAAGGAGAGAGGTGACGGCAAGTGACAAACGGGGGGGTCAGCGAGAGAGAGGCAGGGTGACGGCGAGTTTGGCATAAGGTAACGCCTCGGTGACTCTTAACGCCTTGTGACGGGATTCAGCTGCTACTCTTGAGGCCATTTCATGTATATGACATATGCACTTGCGTGGCACCTCTGACTGGCGGTGTGACTTCCCTGCGACATTTCTCTCAGAACTCTTGTTGCTTGTCAGACTCCCCCCTCAGGACTCACGAACGCACCTGGCATTGAGCGCTGAGAACTCACACTCCACATACTAGCTAAAGAATCCAATAGGGAACCAGTCTATTGCCTTAGGAGCTATGTGAAATGCAATTTTCACACATTTTTTACAAGAAAAACAGATGATGCAGTGTATGAATGTCTGCATAAAGGTCATGGACAAAATAACAGAAACACCAGATGAAAATGGCCTTTTAACTTTGACATCATGACACCGTCTTCACAGGCCAGTCCCTTGTTCTCAAATGATAAAGTTACTTAATATGACATTTTGGGAGATATCAGCATTCGGATGGGACACAGAGGGAAAAGGCCAGCCTGGCACTGTCGAAACCACTTTAACAATTCAGTTATTGTTAAAGAAACCAAGCAGATATAGGCTAATGAGGATTTTATTACCTACGGACAGACCACTGACTGTATAAAAGAAGCACGTAGCCATTGTGACATCACCGATTGGTTTGTGGACTACAGTCCTGAAGCCTTGAGTTTGGCATTTCGGTCGTCGACATCTGTTTTTTTTGGAAAAGTGACTATATTTGGACGAGAGGGTGGAGCTGGGGGGGGAGCAAGGGGTGGATCTGACTGAGAGTCTGAGGACACTATACATGCTGCTAGCAAAGTTAGCTTCCAAAAGAGGCTTAAAATGTACTTAGTGGAAAAAATGAGCAGACAACTCCATAGAATGTCTTTTAGTAAAACTGAATGTGGAATTTTTAGACCAACTTTCATGAACTGAAATCACACAATCACAGGGCCAACGTTCTAAGATGAAACTGCAGTACCACTGTACACTTCCTGGGGGGCTGCTCCAGCCTTGTTGACAGGTCTCGGTGGTAGCAACTTTTCAATCACAAGGTAGCCACTCCCTAAAAGCATTCTCTGCTTTATCATGTATTTTACTCTAACTTGGAACATAACTTACAAAATGTACACCATGCTATATTGGGAAAGACTTGAAACTAGCAATTTAGATCATCATTTTCTTTTGCAACCAGTAGATTCGCCCCCTGCTGACCACTAGAGAGAATGCAGGTTTAAGGCACTCCTTGTCCTGAGGCTACGTCCACTTCTTTTATACAGTCAGTGGGACAGACCCAGGTTAGCTGTTTCCCCATTTCCAGTCTTTGTAAAGCTTTGCTAACCTGCTGCTGACTCTAGCTTCATGTTTAATGTACAGACATCAGACTGTTTTAGGTGTTTCCATTAGTTTGTACACATGCTCTATTCATTCGTTCTAGCTTTAAGTCAATGCTTGGCTCAGTAACTTTATGCTCCTTAAATACAAGTTAGCAACTTGAAACCAACTGTAACATACAAGCATTACATCTATGAAAAATAGTTAGCAGCTAGAAACAACCTTGTCTCACTCTGAAGCCAACACTTGGTCAGTGACTTTCGGCAACGGCTACAACGAAAAAGCGGTCCTTTCAAGTCGGCTATACGCGGCTGTTTAGTGGCGCTCAGGAGCGTCAGGAGGAAACACGGTGGGACAACAATGAAAGTAAAGGTGGCTGAAGTCCGAGTACAGTGGGCAGGCGTCGCGTGGATGGGTCCAACAATCACCAACTTTAATGCAGGAGGTCGGTGTTCCCTACCTGTATGATTGTACAGCTAATCCCTGTTTGTTTTTCCTAAACCCAACCATGTGCGTTTGTTGTTGAAGGGGAATTTTTTTTTTTTTACTTGGCAGTATTGTACTGACAAAGTGCGTTTATTTTGACTCTGTGCGAATGTTAAATTTCCTGTGAAAACAGAAGTGTATCTTGAAGACAGAAAATGCATGTACCAGGCAGAACCTAACACGGTGTCCCAGAATGTCAACAACCAACATACGGAGGGTACCTTGCATTTCGGATCTCCACGTTGAAAGTCCATGACCAAAACATGTGACGAGGTCAGAGTGAGAATGTGCTGCTAGAAACCAACTGTAACTTACCAACCTGCATCACTAAATATGAGCTAGCAGCTCTAAACCAACTGTAACATAACTTAGGACGTAAAAAAAAAAACAAAAAAAAACAAGCAAGCAGCTAGCTAACTGTAAAACCGCATCAACCCTGATCAGTCCGCAGTTATTAAAACCATGCCTGAAAGGAATGACCAAAACCATTCAAGCACTGTGATAGTGTATGTCTTTCTAAAGCTGAATGACGAGCGTCCTCCAGAAAACACTCCACCATTGTGCGAAAGCAGAAGAAGCAAAACAGGAAGATGTGGAGACCACTGAAAGTTATGGAGGCAGGAGGGTATGGATGATGGAGTGGGTGATGACAGATGACACTTTCTCTGGTGACGAGTCAAAGACAAGAGGACAGACGAGGAAGGTGTTTGTGTAAAAGCAGGGTGGCAGTGAAAGGGGCCGAGTGGGAGACTAACCTATGCACACATTTTCATCGTCCAGTTCTGCCGAGGCATTGCGGTAGTAGCCCAGCTTGCATAGCTGGCAGTGCTGGCCCCTAGTGTTGTGCTTACAGCTCACGCAAATGACGGTGTTTAGCAGCTCGATGTAGCTGCATCGGTTGGAGTGGCCGAAGCATTCGCAGTCTTGCAAAGAGAGTGTGAAGGGAAGAGAGGGGAGAAAGAGAAAGAAAGAAGGAAAGAAAGGAAGAAAGAGAGACGCGGCAGGGAGTGTTGGCATTGTTGCTGTTGCTGCGAGTGCTACGGCGGTGGGGTTAGCAAGAATTGAGCGAGGCACAATGGCATGCAAGGTTAGAAATGGAGACTGTGTTGTGAGGGAGGAGATGTTGGGGAAGTGATGAGAGGGAGGGTGATTAGTCTGAAATGGGCACAGCCAGAGTTAGAAGACATCACATAAAAAAGCACGGCGTTAGAAGAACTCGAAGAGGTCACATCACTTCAAGCACACCACAACACGAGGCAAGGAAGGCTTCCGAAATGATGACACAGAGACATGGTCACACTGGGAACACAACACATCGTAAGGCAGGTCAAACCATGAATGAAATGGATCTCTCAGCTCAGGGAATGGTGTTTAGGGAGTTTTAAAGTTGTTGTCTAATTGATCTCTTGAATGTAACGGTCCATATGGTTTGAAGTAATGGCGCTTCATATCACAACCCTCTGTAATGAAATGCACGATGAATTCCAAATTTGAGAAACCCTTGAGTCATCCAACAAATTGGCTTGATAGTTGTTTCTAAAGGCTTATCACAACCTAACTTATACGGTCTTTGAAAGCAGTCAGTAAGGCAAGTGAGCGTCTGCTGAGTTGCACTGAGAGAGTGTGTCACCGGCTGCTATGCAGTGCTGTGTCATGATTAATTAGACATATAGAGTTGTGGCTGGACTGTAAAACCTCCTGCTGCAGTCTGTGATACTCACTGGCAGCCCTGGCCTAAGGGGTGCAGGATGGGAGGGGTGCAGCCCCAGCTGGGTACTCTCCGAGTGAGGATCAGTCTGCCACACGGAGTGACCACTGACACCACGTGTCACAGTGTAGACAGATGTGACCCTCAAGCCTCACTGGCAGCTGCTTGGACAGAAAAGCCCACGGATCCAGAATAGGGGCTGGTGGACGGGGCTTTCGTCCAAGGGATTGTGGTTATTAAGGATCTGTATTGAGGTCAGGTCTCTCTGTCCGGCCGCTAACAACCCGACAAGGCTTGGAAATGAAGGAGCAGGAAGTCTAGTCCACTCTACCTTTCACCTAAAGCAGAAAGTCTTGTTGGAGTGTAAGCTAAGATCTTCTACATTAGAGGCCTCACTCTCGCAGACATACTCTCAGAAGACAAATAATCTCTCCGTTCCAGAAATAGGCTAAGGTCATAAATCATGCACGCACGGGGAATAAAAAGTCTTGAGTCTCGGAAACACGTTTCCCAAAAATAGTTGTAGTTTCAAGCAGCCACTTTATTTGCACTGAAAAAGATATGATTCCAAGGGACTTTTATAGTGTTTAGAAACAATTCCATAGACGAATGAATCCTCAATGTGCCCTGTACAGTGAGAGCCATCAGTTCAGGACTGAGCTGGAAACATGGACACACAGTGCTCTAGCATCGGGTTAGTGCTGCAAGGGTTAGGGGGCTTACAGTTAAACAGAAAGATCTGTTCATACAGTGAGAAGTCTTGGGTGTCATCTGGGGGGCAGTGTATGAATTCCAGCTCCTACCTCGCTTGCTGTTTGCAACGTGGACAGAAGGGGCAGTGGACAATGCAACTTGAGGAGCTACTAGACAAATTAAAAGAAGAAAAACAAACAAACAAACAAAAAAAAATCATGATATTGCAATTAAACAAAAAAACATGGAATGTCAGAGAATTAAGAATACTGAGCATCATGCTTAATAATAAATGTAACTGTAGGAAAAAAAAAGAAACATACGCAGTAATGATGAATGATGGCATTGGGAAATAAGGAGTGACATTGCCAACTGAAGTTGGCTGCTTGTAGCAGCATCTGTTACAAATGCCTTAGATGCCGAACAATTCAAATATTATGGTCCCTCTTTTATGCTTCATTTCATTAACAAGTGCTTTGTATAATTCAAAAGCCTCTGTGTATGTTTCCCCAGACAAAAACTATCCCCTGACAAACTACTCTCCACCTCGGTGGAGGCCAGCCAAGAATTTTCACCCTATAAATTTGTGCACAGGAGCGTGGGCAAGGAAACTGGCTAGCAGTGAACACATCAATCCCTTGATTCCTTTCCGGTCATAAAACAAACAGTGGGAAAAAGAAATAATAGGCCCAGCCTCTGCCATTGTACTGGGTGACATAAGCCCCTGACACATACACTGTGTGCGCTTGGCTGCAGTCATGGAAACACAGAGCTGAGTGGTTGTGCGCTAGTTGTTTGCGAGGTGGCTGCACATCACATCTGAACGATGGATTAAGCTGAGATGAGCCTTACATCGATCTGCATAAAAAATCCACAGTGAAACCTCTCCTGCTTTTCTTCCTGATTCGCTAAGATGGGACTGAGAATCCCTGGAAGCTCTGCACTTAATTATAATCGAGTGTGTATGTATAAATGTACAGTGCACACATTGAGAGGATAATGTATGGCACTGCAGCGTGTTGCAACATGAGTGCCCCGTGAATGCACAAGCCCCCACTGAAGGAGCCAAAACCCTTTATCATGAGCAAAACAAGCAGGCTGAGGATGCTTTTTTGATTTGTCAGAAAAATAACCAAGATTGGAAACGGGGGAAGACTCTACCCACATACACTTATAGCTACCAAAGAGTGATATTTTGCTTCTATGCAAACACCCCGAGATAAATGAATCTGTGAAAAAACATAGTTGTTGCATATTCTTAGATGCCTACCTTCTTTTCGGTTAGCGACACCTAGGGATGACACATTCGGCCGAACTGCGTGCAATTGAAAGAAACCAGGAGTTATTCATGTGCACTTATGTGATGCACTTAACAGATAGTCTAAAGGGGGGTGGGGGGGGGACTACGTGGTAGTGTACACACACAACTGGAGACACGGACATGTCCAGCATGACTCAAATCAGTAAATCAGGAAACAGCAAATACAATGGGGCAGGGCTGACATGGACGAGCAAAGAGAATGCATCCAAAGACCCATTAAGGACATTGGAGAGACGTTGTATGTAATTTGTGTGACTCCCATGGGCTTGCTGTGTATGTGTATGTTTATGTTGATGGCAATGATGAGTGAAAAACTGAAGAAAAAAAAAGATAAAAACCCTCCTAAACTTCGTATTTAAGTCATGATTTATGCAAGCGAGTCTAAACTATGTATAGCAAATTAAGAAGTGAGGGGGCATTTTGTTTAATTCATCACATCGACTATGTAATCAATATCTAATTACAGTGTATTTCTGGTGAGGAATAACAATGAATAAATAATGGCAGGTGTTGGGACTTGGAATGACGGACTGCTGTGGGTAGCATAACCTCATAATTACATACAAGTCCGTATTTCCGTGTCAGGGAAATACTTTGCGGTTGGAAATGGAGAAGACTCAAGCAAAGGGAGGAATACGGATAAGTTTCCTCATCGTGCCCCTTCATCTCTTCACTTGATCTTTCTGTCCTTTTGCTATTGACTCCATGAATCATGCAATCTTGGGTAATTAACATCCAGTGGCGTCTTGGCAAGAAGCCTATTACCCTATGTGTGAATCGAATACCAGACTGCTGCTCAGGCTGAATCCTTTTAGAAAGAATCTGAATAAACTGTGACATACCTTTTTTTTTTTTTTTAAATTAAATAATACATTAGCTTTCAGCTTGGCATGTCGACACACTGACAATCACTTTTAAGCCCCCTGAACATTACCAGGCATTGATTTCAAGCTGCTTGAACAAAAGACTATCATGCAGTATCTCCCGTCTCATCCTTTTCTTTCATTGTTTTTATCTCCCCAAAAAATGTTTCACAACTGATCCTGCTGGGGGATTCTGGCACTGGTGATGACTGCGACATCTCCAGTGGGTTGAAGTCACTTGAGTCACTCGATGAGAGGCTCTTTGAAAATGACAGATTAACAAATAAAGAGCTTAAGAAAAAAGGGCACACCACATCACCACTCAAACTCGGGTCTTACGGCTCATAAATTGTCAAGTCTCTTGTTTTTTTATCTGAATTTAGATCCTTGTTGTTCTGTTAAGCACTTAGCGGTGGAGCTGTTTGTTAAAAGGAACAAAACTGACTTGCGAGGACATGAGCAATTAATCTCTGACGACAACACAAAGTATGCATCATTTGAGGAAGAAAAAAAAAATAAAGCACAGATGAGCAAACCGCACTGTCCGGATCTATAACCTCTAATTGGTAAAGTAAGTTCATTTTTAATTATTCTTTGTTGGGAATTGATTGGATGTAATACACATCTGGGTTCCATTAATTATTTTGTTATGGGGAATATTCAGGTAAGGCGAGCTAAATGAGTGGTGACGGATTTTAATCAATGCCATACCCATAATGAAATGCAATCTTGCGGAGCCAGAATTGTTTTTTAAAATATTAATTTCACTTTAATGGTCTGCATTAGGCAATTCTGCCTGGCTTAATAAACTTGAAATAGAATTGAGAAAAGTCAATAAGGAATTCAATTACCTTCAAACAACAACATGAAAAGTGCTTTCTTTCTTTTTCCACAATAGCTTTGCTTCTAGTCCATTTAACAACCTGAAGGACCTCCTAACCTTTTTTTTTTTTTTTTTTTGTCCACGCTGTTCTTACTGTATTAATAACACAGACATTAAATTGGTTTGTGTCCGCACTGGAGACATTCCTCATCCAGTTTTCAGTGTTTTGCCGGTACTTTGGGAGGCTGCTGTGACAAGACAGCCACTCGTGAGAACTCTAAATCCCTGTGGGCCAATCTGGATGAGAAGTGAAGACTTTGGTTTGTCAGAGTGTCCTTTCTACATCCCTCCCACCCAAAACACACGCTCACACACACACACACACACACACACACACACACACACACACACACACACACACACACACACACGCACGCACACACACAACCACGCACTTATCAGCATGAACACTCTCCCCGTAAAGGATTTGAGGACAGCCTTTGGACATGGTCTGGCCTGGCATTTGGATGGGACGGAAAGGACTGATGTGAATATGTATGCATGTATATACAGCATATACGAGGAGCATGCACACACACACACACACACGCACACACACACTAAGCTCTCGTCAGGCCATGCATGAAGTGGACGCATAATTTCTAAGGTGTGAGAAGGTGGTGAGGGAGGCAAGCAGTGGAAGATTGGGAGGTGGGGAGGATGGGTTGTGGTTTGGTCTTCTTGGCCACATGTCCATTTCTGACTCATGACATAGCATCAGACTTTACAACCAGTGTTCACTTCCACTCTAAAGCCTGATTAAAAAAACACCTGGGAATAATCTGTGTTCACCCTGTGCCTCACACAGCACGTTTTGGGAAACTTGCCCAGTCATCGTCTTAGCCCTTAAATGATGAAAACAAGCGTGCATGTGTCGTCCATGTGTCCCTGAGAGATTTGACTTGGCTCGGTAACACTTAAGCATAAATTAGATATTGAGTGAGTGCAAGCCACTAGAATTAAAGATTGACTATCTGAAAATAAGCAGTTATAACAGTTAAAGAGATAGTTTTACAATTTGCGAACTGTTTTTTATTTTTATGCTGAGAGTTAGACAGGAAGATTGACAACACTTTCATGTCAGGTTGGCTATTTCCCCTGCTTCAAGACCTTGTGCTAAGCTAAGCTAACAGACTCCTGGTTTCAGCTTCATATTTGAGAGACAGATGCGAAAGTGGCATCAATCATCAGTCTTCTCATCTAACTCTCAATGTGAAAGCAAACAAGAACATTTCTGTCAAACTATTTCTTTAAGCTTATCCCTAACTGATTTGACATATAGGACACAAATGTATATTGACCATATGATGTGTCTTTTTTACACCTATATCTAAATCTAAAATTATTTAATGAAGCTGGCACCGAATGTCAATATTACATCAGAAAGACAGTGGACTCTTACACGATATTTTAAATGTCCAATGACATTGGAATTTAAGGCTGTTTTGATGTTAACATTTTGCAGACGTTATTCTATGTCAAGATGGCGTTTGCATGAGACATATGGAAGACACTGGATCTTGGCTGCTTAACAAAACAACTAAAAATGCAACAAAATAACAGGCTCATCTGCCGTCAGTAGTCTCTGTCAAACTGACATTGGCAATAGACGTTGTTCTGACTTTGTTTTTTTAGGTTACCAAACGTCACAACCTAAATTTAACCAAATACTGATTGGAATGCTCGCTGGGAGGATACTGACAATATGATGTCTCTTTTTACACCTTTATCTAAACTAAAACTATTTGATGACAGCCAATAACCACATCTTACTGCTAAAGGTCAGTCGTCGTTGGGTTTTGATCCCCTTAACTTACGACTAAATGTCATTATTCTATGCCAAGATGGCATTTGCATGAGTGATTTGGAAGATGTTACATTTTGGCTGCTTAACGAAACAACAAAAAAACAATAAAATAACAAGCTCATCTGTCATCACTATTCAATGTCAAATTAATGTTATTGACCTGACCTTTAATTTTGGTCACCCAACGTCACAACCTAAATTCAACCAAACAGTGGTTGGACACCAGCTGGGAGGATATTGACGATATGATATATCTTTTTTACACATATATGTTGAATCGAATCAAAATCAAAATCGAAATTTGTTTCATGAAAACCAATTAGCACATACTGCTGTACGTTACATGGATGAAGATAATGAGATTTGTCACTCATTCCAGTGTACGCTTAAGTGTTAACGTCAGAGCCAGCAATACTGCAGCTACAGTAAAGACGACTTTACATACAGCTGTTGTTATTATCATGTAACAGGTAAGTTGATCACTGGGGCCAATTATCAAAAAAAACGTGCATGTCTCTGTAACCCTCAGCCCATCTCTGTTTGTCCAGGATCAGACAGGGAGGGGGCGATTTGCTAATCAATCCGCCGCCCCAGGAGATACTCGCTAAGAACAGGGCAATGAGAAAAAAGATAAAGAGAATTGAGCTGGGCTGTGAATGCACTTTGACTTGTTCAATACAGTCCGATGGTTCCTGCATCACACAGCCTTCCAGGCAGGGGTAACTTGAGACATGGCACCTCTCTTCTTCCTCCCCCTCCTAAGGGGCTACTGGTTGACGAAGATAATACCAACCGAGGCGCTTGCGGCTTATATTAAAATGACCTCCTGTGACATTATACTGCCAGAGAGGTCTTGGCACTTTAATAAAGTCTAGATGCCATTTATTTATAATGCATGGGAGAAAAGAAAAAAAAAAACAAATGACATTCTGCATGCAGAGCCAGGCAAGTGTTATCTGGTTGAGTTGAGTCTGGATAAAGTAAATTAATATGCCCACATCATGACAATATAGCCCGCAGCTATTTGCTTGTCTGTCTTTCCAAAAAACAAGGTTACTGAACAATTGTTGAGTGATCTTTCGTAGGAAGATTGGAATCAGAAATGAACACTTGGCACCAAGTTCAGGGTTGTATGGTCAAGGGTGGCTCAATAGGCAAAGCAAAGCATCAAGCATTCATAGAGTTCCTTTGTAACGTGTACTTACTAACTGGACCAATGTTATTAGGAATACCTGCAAGAGAGAAAGAGAGAAAAACTTCAATTAAGGCATAAAATTAGCTTTAAGGCAGCAACTGCAGCATTTCTCCTTGAAACTAGCAGTGTATCATTAGTCCTGCCATCCTCCCTCACAGTGCTGTATACATTTGAAATGTCTGAAACTGTGGCATCTGAAGCAACGCTAGCATTCAGCCTGATGTGAAACTGCTGTCTGCTGCCTGTTTAGCCTCATGCTTCTTTAGTTTCTTCTGGTTTCCTCCATAATTTCTGCTTTGATGTCCCTGTTGTTGCCAGAAAAGGTCATGGCTGCCCTCTAACACACAGCAAAAGGTACACACCTTGAAAATGTGCCAGCATCACTGAAAAACCAATTTCAGCAAACACCACGGGCTCACACAGACAGACTCTAATATTGGAGTTATTTTGAAGTTAAAAAGTTGAATCCTGATTTAAGACACTTTGTCATCAAAGACACGAGACAGAATTTTCATGCACGCTGACACACCACTGCACACAAAACATATCACATGACATCATAGATGGCAAACTCTGCCTCTGATGCTATAGGTGGACATGTCTTATCCTGTTGCCTGCCTGTCCATCCCTCCATCAAGCAATCCCTTGTGCCAGACAGCCACTGAGCAGATAATACAGTCTGTCTCATCCCCATGGTGACCAGATCTCTCCCACACCAGGACGCTGGCTGGCTGTAGATCTGAGGAGACTGAGACGTTCATAGGCTTCTTGCGCCGATCATTTCGCCATCTGATCTAACCACCAACATCTTGGTTTAGGTATTAATTAGCACTGTGGAGGCTTGAGACACCATGAGGCGCAGACGGTGTTAGAACATGCTTTGCTATTTTACTCTGGTTGCATCTGTAGGCTTCAAAGGAACGTGAACACACTGGTGGAGTATTTTTGGTCTGCATTCGTTTTGAGAGGAATTTGCTTTCAGGACATCGAAGGCAGCTCCACTTTCTCTAATCATCTGTTTGAACGGAGGTCCTCCCTCCCATTCGCTCTACCCCCTGCCCTCAATAAGGCAGCCTGCCCACAAAAACAAACAACCCCCTCACCACGGGAAGAGGAAGCATGCTGGGCAATAGGAGAAACGCGCCCACGTAAACTAGAGAGGCAGAAATGAAATGAAAAGGGTGCTTTCTTCCTCTCACGTCTCTCCCATCATCCGCTTAACACCACACCTTCAGCTGAGGAGGTAGGGGAGGCATCTGTGCAGGATTTTTGGTGGGGCCTTTCATCTAATGGAGCCGTCACAAAATATCTCCAAGTACTCAGGGGAAACATGAGGATTTCCTGAGTGTGTGCATGTGTTTGTGTACGTGGACTTTGATCAAGCTCCTGTCATTCAATCACTTCTCCTCTGATCTCAGCCTGCAAGCTGTATTTAGGAGCCAAATCTGTGACCTGTCTGAGAGCTGTGAAGTGCAGGAGGCCACACTGACATATGGAGGAGGAGCATAATGGATGTCAAACCTCAAGGGGGTGGGCAGATGCTGACTGGAGACAGGAAGGACAAGAGCAAGGACAATAAGAATCACAATTATGTTATTCGCCAAGTACAGTTTGATTTGGCAACATTGGTTCTGAGTGTCACATTAAATTGGTTGTGGGAACAATGCTGTATCTGTATTTCCATGTCTTACATCATCAGCTGGTGAGGATGCTTAGTTTTTGTGGTACGTGCAGCTTTAGCCTCAGTCTTTTGGCATGGTATTTTGCATGTAGCCATCAGGTTTATATTTAAGACCCATTTTACAGGGGATCAGACAGCGTTTTCAACCGTCTCACTGGACTTTTGTCAGCTTTAGCCGGCTAGCTACAGCTGATAACGACACATTTGCACTCTCAACTCTTCAACTCCTCAAACTATGACACTCTAATTTCCCCTCCAGCGTCAGTTTTGGATGGTCAGGGACTTTGTGTCAATTTAAGCCTGTTACATGCATTGTGTCAAAATAAACTTGCATTTTCACATGAAATGGACAGTTTCTGCTCTTTAAATGCATAAAGTCTCTTTTCAAGATATACTTATAGCATAGCTAAAACCAGATTTACCACCTTGTAGCTGTATACCTCCACAAACCAGACAAGTTGGATGCTTCACACACATCTTCAACCTGGCAGCACAGATCTTTACAATCAGCAGTTTCACCAATTTAGTATCTGGCCAAATGTCTCCCCTTCTGTTGCTGGGATATGAATAATGGCCAGTAGACTGTTTTTGCATAACATCATAATGTCACAGTGAAGCCGACCTTTGACCTTTTGGATATAAAATGTCAGCACTACATCATTATATCCTATTAGACGACTGGGTGAAAAATTTGTCACAATTAGTGCATGAATTCCTGAGTTATGGCCAAGAACATTTTTTTGTGAGGTCACAGTGACCTTTGACCACCAAATTCTGATAAGATCATTCTTGAGTTCTGCTGCCTCTCAAACCGCGGCTAAAGGGTGCCTGAGTGTGTTGGTATCTGATGCCGAGGGCCACTTTATTAGGTACACCTTGCTAGTACCGGGGTTGGACCTCCTTTTTAATTCTTGGTGTCATAGATCCAACAAGGTACTGGAAACATTCCTCACAGATTTTGGTCCATATTGACATGATAGCATCACACAGTTGCTGCAGATTTGTCGGCTGCACATCCATGATGAGAATCTCCCATTCCACCACATCCCAAAGGTGCTCTATTGGAATGAGATCTGGTGACTGTGGAGGCCATTGGAGTACAGTGAACTCATTGTCATGTTCAAGAAACCAGTTTGAGATGATCTGAGCTTTGTGACATGGTGTATTATCCTGCTGGAAGTAGCCATCAGAAGATGGGTACACTGTGGTCATAAAGGGATGGGCACGATCAGCAACAATACTCAGGTAGGCTGTGGTGTTTAAACCATGCTCAGGTGGTACTAAGGGGCCCAAAGTGTGCCAAGAAAATATCCCCCACACCATTACACCAGCAGCAGCCTGAACCGCTGATACAAGGCAGGATGGATCCAGTTTTGGTGAGCCTGTGTGAACTGTAGCCTCAGTTTCCTGTTGTTAGCTGACAGGAGTGGCACCTGGTGTGGTCTTCTGCTGCTGTAGCCCATCTGCTTCAAGGTTGGACGTGTTGTTGGTTCAGAGATGGTCTTCTGCAGACCTTGGTTGTAACCAGTGGTTATTTGACTTCCTGTTGCCCTTCTATCATCTTGAACCAGTCTGGCCATTCTCCTCTGATCTCTGGCATCAACAAGACATTTTGGCTCACTGGATATTTTCTCTTCTTCGGACCACCCTCTGTAAACCCTAGAGATGGTTGTGTGTGAAAATCCCAGTAGATCAGCAGTTTCTGAAACACTCAGACCAGCCCGTCTAGCACCAACAACCATGCCACGTTCAAAGTCACTTAAATCACCTTTCTTCATCATTCTGATGCTCGGTTTGAACTTCAGCAGGTCGTCCTGACCATGTCTACATGCCTAAATGCCTGGTTACATTAAAATATGTAACCAATTAGCTTGCATTATTACAAAAGGACACCATTATCATCTACTAACACATATAGGTCTCTGTTTGCATGCACCGTTGTGCCAAACATACATTATACACAGTTCCTCCAGTTTCTCATGAAGTCAAAAATGTGTGACTGCAAGTACTTTAGCTCTTCAACTGAACTGTGAAAAAAAGAGAGGAAAAAAAAAATCAGTAACGCAGTGCTAAAAAGGGCCTGGTTAAGTAGCTGACAGTGCAATAATACACAGGCGCTATCTACATCTAGTCTGGCAGATTAGCAGGGGACCCACTACATTAAATGAAGAGGGATATAAATATAAAACCAGACAGAAGGAGAGAGAGGTGACTTCCTAATGGAAGTCACCTCTCTCTCCTTCTGTGCATCACCAAAACTAAGTTCAGTTTGAGAAGAGCGAATATTCTTCATAACAGTGTTTATACAGAGAAAATAAACACAGTGCTGCACAGTACCAAATGACTGCTGTTTGCCTTCAGCTGCATGCCAAAGACTGGAAGTGAACTCATCACACCTCTATAAGAAAGGGAGATGTTACCAAGTCTAAATGACTACTTATTTTACAAACGACCCTCTGGTAATTGGTGTAGCTCAGGGCCAAATAAGGTCATGATTTGGCCTGTCAGTGCAATTATTTGCCGCTTTAGGAACAACCTGTGGGGTTCAAGCAGATGTCCAGGATCCCATGTCGGGTCATTCGATTAATGTTCAATCACCGTCATTTCCAATCCCCTTCACCTGCCTGGCCCCGCCATTATGGGGCACGGCTGCAATCTAATTTTGTCCTATCGCACAGGAAGAGCATTAGGAGCTGCTTATGTTGACGGTGTGCTCCATTGATTTTTATGAGTTGTGCAGGGATCAGGGTTGCGAGCTGCTGGGTGGAGAACATGATCTCCGAGGGGTGTGCGATTCACTGAACATGATCTGTGTGCATGTGGGGTCAGCACATGCGACAGAACACACACTCCCTCGCACAAATGTGGGCATTAAAATACAGTAGAGAGCCGGAGTCATGTGGGACAGCAACTGATTTACAATAAGTCTCACATCAGAGAGCTGCGTGGTTACAAGTCCCAGTGCTTGATGTTCATCCTTTGCTGGTTCATTTCCAGTTATGTTGTCACCCATCCAAGACCATCACTGCTGAATGCATGCTAATGGATTATCAGAAACCAATCACACACTGTTCTCCCATGGGTGTGTGGGCTTTAAATCTTTGGCATACGTCCTATTTCCTCACTGAACAAGCTAATCTGTCATTTATTCACCCTCAGTGTGCCACATGAAGAAAAAGAGGACATCGAATTTGCCACATAAGACTCTACTGTCAAGAGCACATTCAGTTGCTGGCTGGAAGTAAGATGGTGAGTGTGTGTGTGTGTCTATGTCTGTGTGTGTGTGGGCGTCATTACATTGTTTCTGTCAGTATCCATTCCGCTTTGACCTTCGATGTGTCTCACCTGTTTGCCTT